TTATTCAGTTAGTTAGTTAGTTAGTTAGTTAGTTAGTTAGTTAGTTAGTTAGTTAGTTAGTTAGTTAGTTAGTTAGTTAGTTGTTTTTTTAGCTACTGGTTTGCTTATTTTAGCTGTTAATGACTGAATTGCCAGTCTTAGCAGTTGGCTACTTTTCAGTTGATCCTAGCTTTAGCTACTACGTTTATTTTAATTGTAGCTACTGTTTTGCTGATCTTAAGTTTTAGCAAATGATTAGCCAATCTTAGCTGTAAGCTACTGTTGTTCTGCTACTAGCTTTAGCTACTTTGTTTTATTTATGCTTATTCATGTATGCATTCATTCATTCATTCATTCATTCATTCATTCAGTTAGTTGGTTTTTTAGCTAGTGGTTTGCTGATTTTAGCTGTTAATGACTGAATTGCCAGTCTTAGCTGTTGGCTACTTTTCAGCAGATAACTTTAGCTACTGTATATATATTTTTATTTTAGCTCCTGTTGTAGATTTTAAACTCTGCTCTGTTAATTTTTAGCTACTTTTCTGCTAATCTTAGCTCTTTGAAGTTTGTTACAGTTTCAGAGAAAAGTCACTGAATTCACACAGAAAATAAATCTTATTTATCAGGTTTTCTTCAGGTTGTTGTTTACTAAAACCTCTGACATGTAAACACAGAGTTGTGGTCTGTGTCCAGTCCTGCTGTGTCACAAACACACAACATTTGATGAGAACAGAGAAAAGGCAGAGGGTTTAGCAGTCTTACCTGTTTGACTTTATTCCGTCGCTCCCTGGTTTCGGGGTCCACCGGTTCGTGTCCGGTCGCCCCGGGGGGGCGGTGATAGTCGATGACAGGTAAATTATTCCCACCTTGACCCAGACGCTCATTAGCAAGTTTACTCTTGTCGGTTGAGATCTCCGCTTTGATAACTCCCGGGGGTTTCTGCAGAGTGTCCTTGGCTTCCAGCAGAGCCTTCTCGTGGTCTCGTTTGATCTTATCCAGGTTCCGTTCTTCGTTCCCAGCCGAACCGGAGTCGATGCTCTCCGGACCKGTGCGGGTGTTGGTCTCCACCGGCGGGGAACGGAAGAAAACTCCGCTGAGCAGCTTCGACGAGTCCGGCAGGAAGAAGATAGCCCCGAAGCACAGCGTGATGAACGCGCTGAACACCAACAACAAAATGAACTTCTCCGTCAACCTGAACGAAGTCGGGCTGGCCGACTTCCGACTCGGAGTGGCGGTAAAAGGTAGAAGAGTTGCGACTGGCATTTTCCCCTCTTCCTACAACTCGAACTGAGAGGAAAAAGGAGAACAAATGTGTTTAATGTTGTTCCGGCGGTCGGTGGGGGCTCAGCGTCGGCTCGCTCTCTTCAGAAACCCGTTTCCAGATGACACGAAGCGGTTTAAATGAGAAGTATCGACGGTTAAAAGTTGCGAGGCGGAGCGGACATCCATGCCGAACACTCTCCACAGACAGCCCGCGTTCAACAGCTCCCGCAGACAGGAAGCAGCGGAGGGTGGGCGGGGCGTGGCTGACAGCCGTGATGAGCTAATCACGTTCTCCTCGCTGATTGGTGGAAGCTCTGAAAGGGGGTGGGACTCCCTGTGAGCAACACCCATGGAAGGAATGAGCAGTGGTGGGCACAGTTCCCCTAAAGCACTAATATGGGAACTAATTTTCTGATTAGTGATTTAGGGCTTTTGCTAATTTCTTAATTCATTAGTGGATTAACACTTGCTAAATTTTATGGGCTAAATTTATAAGCACTAAATTAGTTCTTTAAATATTATGGATCAACATTAATGTTAACAGCTGAGGGTGAAAGCTGTCAAACGTTGGTCACATGTGTGTCACTTCACTAGATCAGAGGTTCACAAACTGGGGTCCCTGGACCCCCAGGGGTCTGCGAGAGGTAACTTGGGGGTCCTCAAATTTTTTTACTAAAATGTTAATTTGATTTTTATTTTTTTAAATGAATGGAGAACAATGAACTGATAAAAACATAATAAACTTAATTAAAATTTATATTACTATGGCATTTAGGGGTTGAAATGACAATAAATTATCTTTTAAAACAGCTCGGGGTTTATGAGGGGGTCCCTGGACCTTGTAAGGGGTCCCCAGACCCAAAAGGTTTGAGAACCCCTGCACTAGATCAGTGGTTTTCAAACTTTTTTTGTTTCCGACCCACAAAATAACAGCTGCAGACACTCGTGACCCCAGATGTTACGTGTTTACGTAGCAAACTTTACTAATAACTCTGTTATCATGGGATTAATAACTATAAACAAACCTAGCAGCTGTGATACTAATTTTATTCATTTATGATTAATTAAAAAATTGTAATAATCCTGATGAAAATATTCCATCAGCATATAATTTTTTTAATTTAAATTCATGTCTGGAAATCATCTGGGGACCTGTGGAGCTCAATTGGGGTCATAAGTTTTGTTCAAAATTAAAAAAAATTGAAACTGAAAAGAAGAGATTTGTACGGAAGAGGATTAGGGCCACTGAAAAATAAAAAAAAGGAATTCTGACTTTAATCTCAGAATTCTGAGATTAAGTCAGAAATCTGACAAGGAGCTTATTTTTTTTTTTTGAATGAATGAATGATTTAGTTATTTGGGACAGTGTGCACTTAAAACATAATTTGATGCATTGCACCAGATTTAGCCTAAGGCTAATTTACATCTGTGGTGCTATGG